AATGAGAGTTTGCAAACTGGCTCTGGAACACAGGCAACGTTTTGTTCTGTGCCCTGCGTAGATACCGGTCCTTGCCGCAAGAACGTGGAATTTTCCCACCGCTGGTTCGGGACGGTAAAGACAGAGGAGATACATTTTGATTTAAAGCTTTCGTGACTGCAGTGATTCATATTCTTGGTTCTCTCTGTAAAGTCACGTTGAAGGGAAACAATAAAATAATAAAAATATATATAAAACAATAAAATTCTCACGACGTTTCGACTGCAACACAAGCATTCATCATCAGGTGTGAAAACCAACGGCCAGAACATTTGATAGAAGTAAAATGTTCTTGCCATTGGTTTTCACAGCTGATGATGACTGCTTGTGTTGCAGTCGAAACGTCGTGAGAATTTTATTGTTTTATATATTTTATTATTTTATCGTTTCCCTTCAACGTGACTTTACCGAAAGAACCAAGAATATATACAGAGGAGATAGTTTATCCACGCTCATTGGTTCACAGGGACACGTGCGTGGCTTTCGGAGATAAACAGAGGCACGCATCAACTGTTCCACAAAGGAACTTCGCAAGCGTCAGCAATTTGCACGGAAAGTGCGTGGGGGGAGGCTGTGGCGGGGAGGAGGTGGAGGCACGGGGCGACAGGAATGATACATTAATTACCACCGACCACATGATGCAATACGTGAATGGTAATGATCCAGGGGTCCAGATTAGTTTAAATAAGCGTTTTTTTTAATTCATATCTCGTTTGTGACGTTAGTGCCCATCTGCCCCCATCCCGTCTGTTGTCTCAAGCTTATTCTGAGCCGCCTGTGCCGTCTCGTTTGTACTCATGTGCCCATCATCACTCTGTGTGTGTGTCTGTGTTGTTTGTATGGTCTTTTTTGTACTGCGTCGCTTGTACTGTCGCGCCTGTACTTTGTGTATCGTCTGTACTGTCTCCAATGTACTGCGTGTCTCGTTCGCGCTGCCTGTCTCATCTGTAGTGCATCACGTGTACTCTCTCGTTCGTGATGTATCGCTTGCGCTGTCTCTTCTGTACTGCCTCTGTAGGCTGTACTGTGTGTCTCGTCTGTACTGTTGCTCATACTCGCGTGTTTGTACTTTTTCGCTTCCACTGTCTTCTCTCGTCTATACGGTCCGTCTCATTTGTACTCCCTTGTTGAATCATGTCTTCCTTTGTACTATCTTTGTCTTGTCTCTACTTTGTCACTGTGGCTTGTCCTGGTCGCCGCTTGTCCTGGTCGCCTCTTGCCCAGCCGTCTGTCTCGTTCGTGCTGTCTGATCTGTTTTGTCCGCCTCGTTCCAAATCGTTTGCACTTCAATTAAACTTTCGCTTAACATTTTCGTGAATTGAAAAAAACGATCGACTTTCAAACGCAAGAATAGGCGTTCGCAACGACGATCTTTGAATCAAGTTTCACGTTTCAAGTTTGTTTTTGCTTTCCATAAGCAATAATTTTGGGTTAGATACTAAATGTGTCGTTAAACCCGCCATCACCGGACAACAAAACGCGCCACTTATTAGCACGTTTAGTCAGGTTTGTCACGTAAACGTAGCAATAATTATTGGCACGTTTACGTGGCAAACCTCACCAATTGGCTGTCGGGTGATGATGGCGGGTTTAACGACACATTTATATTGACGTGGTCTAACCCCAAAAAATATTATGGAGAATATTAATCGCGGAAAAAAAGCTTGCGCGTTAAATAGTTTTGAATAATTAACCGTGTGAGAACTCGGGAGGCGATGATGACTCGACGACTCGTCACGTGCATCATCGATTGGCATCTCTCAATGACGTCAGTCTCCGTGCGGCATGCGGGTGCTCGTTCACGAGAACGAGTTCGACGTCTCTTGTTTTTGCCGCATCATCTTCATCATCATCATTCGCGTGCTCGCTACCAGTGTAGGAAGAGATCTACAGATATCGGTGTGGCCATAAGTAGTACCTCCGTTTAGCACGGTTGGCGACGTACGGTGCTAACGAAGTTCAACATACGCATACAGAACCATTGATGCCACCACGCCTCGCTCGAGCCCTTCCTCCACATGGCGCAGCTTCTGGTAACTGATGCACAGCAGACACGTGACTCCCCCCCCAACATTCGGTCTTAGATCTCATCTTCCCCTCGGTCGAGTTGCCGGATTCGCCGAGACCGCACAGATGACTCTCGGCAATCGGCCCTCAGCCATCCAGCACACGTGTCCCATCATGCAGCGCAACCGTTTGAGAGGTGTAACAGGTGAAACGTGCAGCCCTGCAATTGCCTGTCCAAGCCACTGCTGGCGGAAGGGCCTCCGGCTAGAGGGCGCTCAAGAGATGCCATCTGGAATCTAGATTCTGGAGATAATTTTGGCCTACTCTTCCACGCTCGCCAGACGATTTGCAAGAGTATGGGGAAAGCGACCGTATACCCCACCACGCTCGTTCCTCAATCCTTGTAGCGCGCCCCTGTCAACTACATCATTCCATTCTGTCATCGTTTTGTAAGCTATGTCAAGCGCCTTGATTGAAGGCGCTCTATAAATATAAAAATGTGATTAAATTAGGCGAAACCGTGGCATTACCCTCAACCTGGGAATTCGGAGTTTTTAAACGGGATTTGTTTGGATCTGTGGCCAGGAACATTTTCCGCATCCAGCTAACCACATCCAGTATACTTCTCGCTGCGGGTGAGGATATGTCTAGTTACATGCCAATTAAGTCTACCAGGCACCCGTAAAATGTATGTATGTTGAACTTAATTCACACCATACGTAGGCCAACCGTGCTAATCGTAGGTACGGTGAAGGACAACAAGCTAAACACAAAACGCAGTTCTAAAGAAATGAGTTTTCAATTTAGATTTAAGAGTGCATGGCTTCAGTGGCTTTCCGAACCGTGTCAAATATTTAAACAGTTGGGGAAAAGGTGTATAATTATTATGTTTATAGTTTTCTTTTTCACCCAGATAGGCCTGAGTCTCACGATTTATTTTGCAGAAGTGTCATGCCAAGCCTTCGCAGTAGGGGCGGCGACGATGTTGCAATGTGTAATTCCAATTTTAATAACTTTCAAATATTTAAAAATGTGTAATTGGGATGTTTGGCCAATAGCAGTTTTACTTAGCTCTGGGACGAAAGCGGAAAATGTGAACAAAACATCATGCAGAACAGGCGGAGAACATACGAACTCGACACAGAAAGGTGCCCCGAGTCACGAATCGAACCCAGGATTTTTGGCTGCCAGGCACAAGGAACAGCCGTTCAAATGGTACAGTGAATTAGGGCGACGGCCCCGGGCCCCACGCTTTGGGGGGCCCCACGGTTCCACGCCACGGTGTCAGATGTAACACTCCCAGTTAAGTTTGAAGGCGTCGAAGGGGGCCCACAAGGTGCGTGATTTTCCACCAGACTCCCCGCCCCCGCCCTCTATGGCTGGCCCTGGGCGCAGGTGTCACCCATTCCGCAACCCTCAATAATACTGCACCGCCATACATAGACAAGGATTGAGAGTCATTGTTTCCAAATGCGGCCACGATGACCCACTGGAAGATTATAGGGCAGTTAGCTAGGAGAGAACATTTTGCACGAGATGGCATGGGGTTAACTAGCTTCATCAAATGACAGCTTAGCACTTTGCACCTCCACAGCTTTTGGAATTTTAGGACAATTAGCAATTCGGTTTTTTTGTACCTTTCTTCATTAACTAATTGTTTCCCTTCTACGTGACTTTACCGAAAGAACCAATAATAGAATTGGTCCCCATTAACAAATGGCTGAGATTTACGAAGAGACATTCAAGGCCACCCCTTTTAAAGGAAAAGCCTATAAATTGTTTCTCTCTACAAGAAATACGCCGCAGCATTTAGAAGTCCGCGGAGGCATAGATTGATCACGTGCGATGCGTGAGCACGTGGGCGCCTCTGACGTAACGTGACATGCGGGTCGATTGAACTCACGTGACACCCGCTTCGAAGACATTTGAATATTTTGTTTCCTTCCCACCCTGCTCCCTCCTGTCAGCAGCAGCAGCATCATCATCATCAGCCGTAATTTTATCCACTGCTGGATGAAGGCCATATCTTACGCTCTTGCGATGACATTTGCAAATGCACACGAGTCGATTTTTATCGTTCCATCTCCGCAGCGGATGTGGTCTCGGGCGTGTTCTCTCCATTGGCTGCTACTCCGTCTTTAGTCTCGCTCCCCTCTACAACCGCCCCGAACTTACATGCCCCCCTCTCACCCCTAACCCCTTTACCAAACCTTCTACTCCCTGTGCCCGTTCCTTCCACTCAGCACCCTCTATCACCACAGCCACACGCACCCCACACCCTCCCCGTCTCCCCTTTCATCTCGATAACCCCTCCGCCCCCCTCAATTCCCATCTCATCTCCACTCCTACTTCCCCAAACGCTCACCTCTCTGTCTTGCTGTCTACCTGCCCCGTCCATCCCGCGACATCCACCCTCCCACCAGCTGCTCCCCGCCGCCACGTACGCATGTGTACGCATGTTCAACTTTCTTTCACACCGCACGTGGCCAACCGTGCTCATCGGAAGGACGACGAACTAAACACAAAACGAGGAGTTCACGACGGAGCACCGCGGTGGATCCCGGTGCAGAAATAAAATGGGGCCAGCTGCAGGAGGAATCCGATGAGCTATAAAGCTCTTTTTCACATGTGTCCAGTATCCCTTCATTCCCAGCTGCCCTCATCCCCGGACCCCCCCTCTCTCCCTCCTTCATCTCCCCCCTCGCCTCACACACATCCCATGATCATCATCATCAGAAGCAATAAATCCACCACTCCGCCATCGCCATCACTCCCACCACCCCCTCCTCGTTCCTTTCATCTCCCTCCCCCCCTTCCCTTGAGCCCCTTCCCCCCGCCGCCCCCACTCCACCGGAACCCCTCCCCTCGTCACCCCTCCCCTCGTCACCCCTCCGAGTTAAAATGACTGGGGTCGCAGCTTCGCGGTCGCACTTCCGCCCCGAGGGCAGAATCCGCGCGGCGAGCCCCGTGCGCGCGCCGCACGCGGGGCGCCCCGGGGGCGTCTCTTGCTCGCGGAACCCGCGGGCGCCTTCATCGCTCGTCGGCGCTCATTGTGAAGGCGGAACCGCCAAAAGCCCTCTCGGAAGAGCCGCTCGCCCCTCTCGTCGGCTCGGCAGCTCGCAAACAAACACACACACACACGGTCAGAGAGGGCTCTAGGCCACGGTCTCGACATCGTCACTGTAACACAACAGCGGTGGCGGCGGTGGCGGTGACGGCGGTGTGTGAGAAATCTCCGAAGCAGAAGAAGAAAGAAGCTTTGGGCGCCTTCAATGTCGTGGCGCGGTCCAGGCAGAGCGCCCGTAGCCGCCTCGTGCTAACGAGAGAGGGGGGAGGGGGGGCAGTCTCTACGCGGCGGCTCGATTTTCATCGGCTTAATTCAGCATTTCTTTAGATTGTTCGTATTCTTCTTCTTTGGTTTATCACCATTGTTGAGTATTAGAGTGATTCGTTGCAGCTCGTACTGAGGAGGACGGTGGGAATTGCAGAGGGCCCCCCCCCCCACCGACGTCGGCGGCGGGGTGTGTGTGTGGGTTGTGTGTGGGGGGGGGTCCCCCCGTTGTTTGGCGCAGTCGCCCTGAGGAGGAGAAGGGAGCGATGGCGCTGGTTGCGTCGGTGCTGCCGTGCGCCTGAGCCCGGGTCGCCGTGGTGTTCGTAGAGGGTGGGGGGGGGGCCTATAAAGCCGGCTTTGTGTTGAGGTGGAGGGGGTGTGTGGGAGAGCGGTCGAGTCGGGGTGGTTTTTTTGGGGGGGGTTCGAGTCGGGATTTGTATCGCGTTAGATCCGAGCTGGGTTAGATCCGAGCTGGGTTAGATCGGTGGGGGTCGGATTTGGAGCGGGATCGGAGCGCGTCAGATTGGCGGTTTCGGTCCGATTCTGTCGGAAGTTGCATCGGGGTTTGGGTTGGATTCGGAACGCAGATCCGTTTGTCTCGAGCCCGGTTCGGGGTCACGCCTGCGTAGGGCCGCATTGTGACATCTCCAGGTTCAGGTCAGTGGGGGGCAGGGGTGGGGAGGTCCGTGTCGGTTCAAATCGGTTCGAGTTGGATCGGAAGTCGTCAGCTCGGGCAACGGCAGGGGCGAGGGGCCATTCAGTCATGAGCGCCGGCATCTCCCTCAGCGAGTTGTGCTGCCTCTTCTGCTGCCCGCCATGCCCCGGCCGCATCGCGTCCAAGCTCGCCTTCCTGCCGCCCGAGCCCACGTACGGGCTCCTGGCGGACGAGACGGGGTCTCGCTGGAGCCTGCGTCTCACCGACCGCGCCGAGTGGCAGTACTCCCGCCGCGAGCTGGACGCCATCGAGGTCTCCGTCACCAGGTGGTGGACCGCAGCGGACGCACGGACGGATTCTTCCCAGCTGTGTGGTGGCTGCGTTTCCCATTCCCCATCCGTTCGTTCATACACCGACACCGACACCCCCCCCCCCGCAAATCCGCGACCCACCCTCCATCCTGCACGCCAGGTCATCGTAGCCAGGGCACGCATTCTCACCGAAAGCTGCGTCGTCGTCGTCGTTGTTTCGTCGTGTCCGTCATGCCAGCGCAGTCGGACGGACCGCCGATCGCCACTTTGTCGGTCGGTAACGGCGCTTAAAAGCGTTGACGTCGGCATCGATGGTTTTCGAGGAATCGGGAGATTGCAAGTAACGTGGTTAGGACCCGCGATTCGCAACACTTCCTCCGTGTTGGGGGGGAGGCCGGAGAAAGCATGCGAAGAGTAGCCACACCAAGAGGTATACAGGCTGTGGTGTGCTGGGTGGAGAAATATTCGGGGTTTTTTTAAATCTGAACAGACCCAGTTAAAATTAATCCCTGGTCCTAACCCTCAATCGTCCCCTGTTGGACTCCTCACCCTTGAATTGAAACCCTTGGCCAGACATTAGTCCTTGGACTCAGTCTTATCCAGATTGTAACCTCCCCGTGTACAGTGCATAACCGATAGCCAGAACCCGACCGATATTTTGAAATAAAATACGTAGACGTTTAGCATGGGTTTAGCCCTGAGACACTTCCTACTATGAGTGACACGTTAACCATTAGTCAAACCTTGGCCCCATAATCAAATCTATAACTGACAAGAAAAAACACATAAAATCAGAAAGTGTTATTTGTTTGGAACTTGCTGGACCCATACACATACTCTAAACCATTAATAATAAAAACAAACTCTCAACACTAATTGTTTATCATGACTTTAAAAAGAACTCGGACCATTCCAAACATTGGCCAGGCCATAACCCTTAATGTGATGAACCTTTATCACCGAATCTTATATCTCAACCTGACCCATACGATCAATGTATACCATAACCACTACCCCAGTCTTAGGAAACCCTTTAACTAGACCATGATACGCCTTTTAAAATGAACCCTAACCTCGTACCTATACTGTGACACTTAGCCCTGACGACTACCCTGATTTAAGCCCTTAATCACTACTCTCAGTAACCCCTGCTATTACCCAGACATTGAACCACACACAGAGCCATGCTGATAATCTGGACATTGAACCTGGTCACATAACCCAAGCATTTGTGCTTACCATTCACCAGACACTTAATCACTAACCGTAACCCATGCTAACCGTGACTTAAAATATTTCCATAACTCCTCTTGACCTCTCCCCTAGTGAGTTGTATATTCCCTTTTGCTGCCCTGTGGTGGATGTGATTATCTTGATTGCCTTCATAAATAATAGAACTGAAACCAGGGAGGGATCCACCCCAAAGTGACGTACATTTACATGTTCATAAAGAGGGTCCCCAGCCCTGTGTTCTCGGTTCCCACCGATTGTGCCTTTTAAATGACGCACAGCAGCTGCCCTTATGACACAACGGGGTCAAAATCGTGGTGACGAGGACCCCAGGCAGTCGTCACACCTTGTGCGAGCACTTTAACGAAGCGCGTCGCCTTTCTTGGAAGGCTCGTCAGTTAGCACTGACCCCTCCCTACAATTTATACCAAAAAGAAGTCGTCGCTAAAAGGATATCCTCCTTGTAGTAACACTCGTCCAGGGGATATTTGAGATGTGACTCTAGGGGGTGGCAATTAAAACATGTTAATCAAAACAACCATTGTGTAACAATGCAAGCAATAGTTAAACATAACAGTCGGTCATTGGACTTATTTGCTGATTTGGTTTTTTTCAGCTGTTTATTATGGTGCCTGTGCTGTGTATCTTTGCGTGTTTATGTAGGCAACTGTGTGGAATGGCGACAAAAGCAATAATGTGCTGGAAGGGAGAGGTGTTTGATTAGTGGGGTAGCAGGATTTGGCCTCTGGGGCCTCGTGTGTGCGTGTGAATGGTATGCGAATGATAAACATCGCCACGAGGGAGACAAAGGCGGCCTGGCGTGGTGCTGGCCACCCACCCCCTCGTGTGCCGTGCCAGCCTTCATAGGTGCTCGCGAACAGCACTTGCCCCAACAGTCTGTTAGGGCTACACAAGGGGTTCTTTGTCTTGCATGTGAATGGTGGGAAGTGACACATGAAAAGGCATCCGCAATATTATTTTGAAAGATGTACTCAGGATGTGGCCAATGAACATAATGAATACTTGGGGAGCTGTACAAAAAAAGCAAGGATAAAGAATTACAAACGAACTAATTACTTAATGGGAATGAAAATAACTAATTTCTTTGATGGGAGTATCCCAGTCGGTGCCTTAACGTAAATACTTTTAACGTATAACCTCACGACAGACGAATATCTCTTAAGCGAGTGGCTCCTCCACTACATTAAATTCTTCGCTTCTAAGAGCAATGCGTTAAAGCTCATTAAATCAACAAGGTTTGTCCGGATTCTTGCAACCTTTAAACTCGTTTAGCTGCAGAGCACTTTACAGCGGTGGCAGGGAGGCTGAGCTCCCTCATTGTTGGGAGGAATTTGCCAGGCTCGTGTGAGCGAGGCCAGGGCGTGTTCATTTAGGCTGCCCAGCCCACAGGAGGCATTTGCAAATTTGACGGTGGCACGGAAGTGAACCGCGATCTCACAAAAGCGGCCTCAGAGAACACTCCCTGTAGAGTAAACGAGCCAGCCAGCATGTCCATTTTTGGTGCCCTTGCCTGCGCGATTGTCTGGGGCCAGTTTTTACCTGGTCACGATGCCTGGTGTATTATTCAGGCAGCGAGTATCGGCTGTTGTGTTCCACCGTGTAATGCAGATGTCCTCGGAGCCTCTTGAGCGCCTATCATTTTAGTCTTTTGCTGAAACCATTAAATCGGCTCGACCGTTGTGCATCCAGCAAAATCGATAGCCGTGTTATATGGCAGGGCTCCCGTTTGTGTGTGTATGCATATATGGAAATTAGAAACTGGCTGGCTTTTTTACTCCAACAGCTCTGCTGTGTGTTTCAATGAAATTAATCAAACTATATATGTTTTATGAATTTCTGCCCAATTAATAAGTGATTAATAATGTACCTGATTACTTTCTCGATACAAATTACTTGGGGGGGGGGGGAGATATTCAGGTGGGCTCGTTATGCTGCCACAAGTGCCCTGCATGTAAGTAGATGCTTTAGTGGTAGATTGCATTTCATAGCCTGTCCCATGCTCGGATAATTACCAGATTGCTTCTCGAGGGAATGATGGGGGGAGGGGGTGGGGGAGCGGTTAGAGTTGGCATAAAAAAAACTCAATTTTTATGATTTCAATTAGACAATTATGTAGCACATGTCCGTCGTCAAATTACGCTTAGCAAATGTGGTAAAAAACAACAAGTTTGCAGCTTACAGCAGAGCATGTGACTTGCATTACAAGTGCAATATTATGCTTTCATGCCGGCTTAATACCCTAGTTGTAGACGTGTTTGTTAATTTAATTACCGATTTAAAGCTTTCGTGACTGCAGGGATTCATATTCTTGGTTCTTTCGGTAAAGTCACGTAGAAGGGAAACAATAAAATAATATTTTTTTGTTTTACATTTTTATTATTTTATTGTTTCCCTTCTACGTGACTTTACCGAAAGAACCAAGAATATAATTTAATTACTGTTTAGTGGATTATTTGTGAGGTTTTATTCCTCCGCTGAAATTCATGCCAATCCAAATTATTCACACCAAAAATGCCATCTTAAATAGACATCAATTACACCACGATTAGCTAAAATTTACGTAATTTTTTTCTGACATTTAGTGTGTGTAGTGGCAAATTACTGCAATGTAAGTTTAATCTTGGCACTATTGCAACGCTAAATGCTGCTGGAAGCACACGCATCTCTATTATTAATAACACATTCTTCAATCAGTGCCTTATTTTACCATCTGCAACTAATTAAGTTTATTTTCCCTGGAGTCACATGAGAAAATGTGTTATATGCAAAAACTTACATAGGTAAATTTTGATAATAGGGATGTCACCCTCCTCTCTCCAGTCTGTGTACCCTACTTCCAGGGCTGTGTTTCTCTTCTGTCTCTTCCCCACGTCTCCCTCCTTTTTCCTTCCCCACATTTTCTCCCTGTCGTCTTTTCCCCTCGTCTCCCTCCTCGCATTCTCTTCTCCCCGTGCCACGGACGAGTCTTTAACGTACAACCCTTCCCAACCCCCTTGGGCCCCGATCCCCCTGCAGGACAAGTAGGGGCAGTCGGCTGGCGTGCATGTTCGTGCGCTGCGCGCCGGACGCGCCGTTCACGCTGCTCTTCTCTCATGGCAACGCCGTCGACCTGGGCCAGATGAGCAGCTTCTACCTGGGGCTGGGCACGCGCCTCGGCTGCAACGTCTTCTCCTACGACTACTCGGGCTACGGGGGCAGCTCGGGGAAACCTTCCGAGAAGAACCTGTACGCCGACATCGAGGCGGCCTGGCACGTGCTGCGCAACAGGTGCGCCGTTGTTTTCCTCGTCGTCATCAGTGGTGTCCGTATTTCGTCAACCCGCAGCCGCGTAATGCATTGGTTTCGCTGGTGACAGTTGGTTTGTTCGTGCTTTCAACGACGATAGGCGCGTCGATTCGTGCGTGCAAGAGTTTGTTGTTGGCGTTACATTTCGGGCTAATAGGGAACGGTGGTGCAGTAGTTAGCACTGCTTTGAACCTGTGTGCCATGACTTTTGAGTTCTGGCCTTGTCATCATCAGTGGCGAGTCGTATCTTAATCGGTCCTGCCCCCCCTACTTCTCCTCCTTTGACCAATCTTGTGAAGTATCATTCCACAACTCTTATGATCGACATGGTAGAGGGATGCCTTATTCGAGCAGTGTATTGACAAAGCGCTATATACGTTAGGATTATACAGTGAACCAAGACATGCAAATGGAGCCAAAACATTTAGAATGCATACAATTTGGTAAGAATTTGATTTATAATATAATCCATTCTTGATTGAAAGTGCAATCCCGAATCGCGACAGTTGAATCGCTGGGGGATGAATCATTGCATTTAATACAGATTAAAGAAATAATATCAAGTCTTGCGCTCACAATACATGCATTGAATTGTGACGATGAGAAAGACTAGTAATTGATGCAAATTATATGCCACTGTTAACTTTAAGATAATGGAATTATAGATAGAACATACAAGACAGAATACATAAAAACGTCACTCAAATTAATTCCTGAATCGAATCATGACCAGGAGCTGTGACAGGTCATCAAATTGTGAATCATGACATGCTTCTTGGTTACTGTTGCCACTGTTAGTTTATCTTGCCAGTGCTGGTGTGGCAGTGTTCGACTCGCAGTCAAAGTTCCACGTTTAAATCCAGTGGCACGACAGCAGTGATTGTCCTATGGATAGACTGTTCTCAGCTACTTGCCCAGGACTGCCAACATATGAGCATTTTATTAGGCATTTTATTGCAAAGTTACCATATGCGTACATCTAGGTGTTTGCGCTCCTGATTTACTACCAATTACATCGGCCATTTGTGCAAGACCTGTAAACCAAACGCTGGAGTTTTTAACGACATTGATATGCGTAATGGATTGGGCGAGAGAGATATGCCCAAGGCAAGTAAGTTGACTCGATCTCCAGGTTTCTCTGCATCAATACAGGATCATGACCCTGTTCATCATTGACAAGGATCGGCGATTCCTTGAGGCTGCGTCGGGTTTTTTTTTTGCTGCCAAACGTGTTTTTGAAAACTCAACTGGAGTGTATTGAAATCCTCCAATGTATTGGATTTTCTGGCAAGAAAATATTTTTTGTTTTTTTATTGGAGCCTGTGATGCTCCTCGCTGTTCACAAATAAAATTACACCCTTTTGTTGTCCAGGACAGCCTCACTGAAGTCTTAAGATTATTTTGAAGGATTGTTGTCCAAATGATTGTTTGGCTGATTTATTTATGAAAGTATGTATTTATTTTTTATTAGAGAAAAACAGGCTGGCTGGATACAGCCCATCATACGTTCAAGGCAGTTACTCAGTATTCTACAAGTATAGGTTCACAAACTAACTCTCTATACTGTTATATACTGGCATTCTCAAAGATCAGTGGGTTGGGGAGTTTCACAGACCTCTGTGATCTACCAACCCTTGCCTTGAAAGCTCTGGACCACAGGTAACCACTGGAGTCTGTTTGTGCTGTTTAAGTTTGTAATGCATGAGTGTATTTCACTGGTGGGGGGGGGGGGGACATTGTTTTATAACTTGACGAACAATATTCATTTGTCTTATCCCTGTTAGGCCATGGGCAACCTAAGCTGGATGTGATGTTTATAGGTACTCTTGAATGTATTCTCAAGATGTTTGTAATTTTCTGAAACTCGTGTTACGAAACAGATTTCAGACTACCAATCATAATCTGGAGGAGTCTTGCTGAAGGGATGGCTGCAGCTCTGATAGGTTACTGCCGGAATTGGGTTCGCTCACTCCTGTAGGCCTGACTTGAATAATGAATGACCAGGGAAGAACTCCAAAGTCGAGTTACGTAAGTTACTATTCTCCCTGGCTTGGAGGAGTGGCGGTTTCTTTGTGCAGATAGCTCAAAGTGATGGTGCAGCACGACCATAATCTCAAGATAATGGTACAGCATTACATAATCGTAAGATAATGGTGCATTATAACCTGACAAAAAAAACATCTATGAACAATTGAGTTTTTGTTATTAACCCTAATTGAGATTTGCTAGTTAATTCGTGGGTCAGAGAGCACCGAGTTCTTACCACCGAGATATGCTGGGTTATTATTTTGCGTTTCAGTCTACCGCGATCAAACAGGGTTTTTAAGTGTAGCAAGTTGATGGATTCACTGATAATTACTAATATATTTGTAACTAATGTCTATGCAAAAAAGTACATGCTATAAAATTAGGTGATTTACTTCATTTGGACAAAAGACCGACTGAGAATTTCTTTAAAAAAAAATGCAGTTTGACTGCAGTGCAATGAATATCTCTACAGCTGGGCATGTGGGAGTGCAACGCCTCAAGTGCGGGTCAGAGGTCACTCCAAGATCTCTAAACTAAGTCTGTGATATCTCCTTTTGTGTGCCATTCTCTAACTTGGGGTGATACACTACCCAGAGAGCCCCGAATGGGCATGGCATGACACTGATATCACATTCACTATGATATTCAGGACTAAGGATACAGGAAACAAATCCTGATGCACAATAAATTCACGTGTTGTGTTATCGTGAAAGTTCACAATGGTTGAACATTAAACATATTTGAAAAGCCTTTGTCAATCCGCTGCTGGATGAAAGGCCTCCCCTTTTCCACGTCAGTCAATGGGGAGTTCATTAACCGTACGTCACCACTTTGGATCAGTGCATGTCGGTGAAGGCTCGGGGGCCCAGGATCAATTCACACCACTCATCACATGGTCAGAAATCTAACTGGGTAGCCGGCTTCATCGCGCAGTTTGCGGGCCATGCCGCAGACGAATAGTGTACGTACGTATGTTGAACTCCCTTCACACCCTACGTAGCCAACCGTGCTAATCGGACGCGCAAGTGGTGGCTGGGCATAGCGTATTCACGGGGCGGACAGGTCTTTTTTCTTCTAAATCCCGTCGGGTAAATCGTACAAGTAGATCACCGAGTGCTGTCGGGGCTCTCCGCCAACTCGTTTCTTCAAACTTAGTGATGTCATCGACGCACTGCGCCAGCTGGGCATCTCGAGCAACTCCTCTCGAGTTGTCCGGCCGTTCCAGTCGAGTGAGGAACTTGGTCACATTTAAATGTGTCCTTTCAACAAAGCTCCCATTACCCCCACTCCTCCATTCTCTCTCTCTTCTTGACCCGATCGGCGCATGCGTGCGTTTGGTGTTGAGCACACAGTCACATGCAGTGGGTGTAGCCGCTGCTGCCACACATGTGCTTTGCATCTTCCTCGCGAGCTCCGATGTGGCACGACGAATGAGCCACCCACGATTTTAATTTCGTGTTCCGACAAGTCTGTGTTTCTGACCTTTGAGGTGGTAATTTATAGCACACTGATTTACGTGGCACTTGCATTTTGCCATTGGCTGTTCCATTTCACGAAGGCATTTTGCTCCCCTTAAACGTGTTTCGCTGAGGGTTCTGTCCTCTTTCTTTTTTCTCTTTCGCAACGAAAAGCGTCGTGCATGAGCGTGCAATAACAAAAAAAATCAGCCGTTTCGCCCCGCTTCAAATTGGGGCCGCGCACAGATTCATCCCCGGAGTGTGCGAAAATGTTTCGTTGGGGGAAGAGTCTGTTATTACAGACCGCCGAGCGTCCTGCGTGAATTATAAATGAGGACCCCCATTATTTGTTAAAGGAGCGCACTGATGCCACTGCACTAAAGGAGCCACGTTACCCAGGAAACGCATTGATAGAGGATAATGCACTTTAAAGACATTGTAACGGGATCGCTGGAACCCTGCCCTGCTGTCACTAGTCAGGCCGTCTTGTAAGTCGTGTGCGAGTGCTTCTCGATTAATTTTTGTAATACTTAGGAAATGTCCATGATATCTTGTGGGTTAAAACGTCACCCCCCCCACCACCCCTTCTTAGAGACTGTGCTCCCCTCCTACGAGTTAATTCTGCCCCCCCCCCCACTGCCCCCCACACGCAGCCATTGCAAATATGTAAATAATTAGCCACTCTTGAGGTATATTTTATACTCTGTTTTTTCTTATTCAAATTATATTGTTAATCTGCGAAGTTTAAAACTTGACAAAAGCTGCTGGCGGACCTTGTGGTTTGAATCCATGTTCGTATGAGACTTTGGGGACAGCATTGGCGATCGTTTATAAGCGGACTGAAAATGCGCGACAAGGCTTGCTCTCCACACACGCCGCCTTGTAAAACAGAAACTATGTTTAATTAATATTTTTGAGCGCTGCACATTTTGTGTAATAGAATGCTGAATAGACTGCCGTACTGTATCTCCACATTAAAATAAAATAATTTTAGTCTGTCGGCCTTCCAGAGATGCGTTGCCCATTAGCATTTTTTTAGATGAGGAACATATGGACGGATTTCGCCGTTCGGATTCTCATCAGTAGAATAAGGCCTGTTCAACTTATACTGCTGCTTTGCCTGATGTTATTGCCCTGAACACTCCCTCAAAATCATGGTCCCTATCTATTAGCATATTTCTCCGCAACAGCATATGTTGTTTGTAATATGTTTCTCACCCAGTTCCTGCTGTGGTGAATCACTCTTCTCCAAAATCTCACTTTATGCTTTTTAAGCAATAAGGCAGTCTTAATGATTACAGTGGTAAAGTTATTTTTGCCTCCGCTTCCTCATTGATAATTCGCAATGACTCTTATTGTATCTATCTTTAAAATTACACGGTACGTGCGGTGACATCCACAAAACAAGCACTCGTCTGAGAGGACCATTGCACAAACACGTGGTTGGGCAATTTTTCTAAATGTAATTTAATCGGATAATCACTAATCAGATAATCGCCCAACACTCAGGGATACTAGGATGCGTCAATCTGTCATCTTGCCATTGTTTTGCTTCACAGGGTATCGGCTTATTTTATTTGGTGGCCACTGTTGACAAAAATATTGTAAACTGGTTGCCAACGGCGGGTCATTACCCTCGTTTTCAACGAGAAGGAAGTTCCCATTTGTCATCCCCATTGATGCAGCTATGAAGGTTGAGTGTCGAACAATGTGCACGGTGTATTGGCGTGGGAGGGGGGTGGTAACACAGCGGTTAGCCCACTGTGCTATGTACATGGCAACCTTAGTTTGATCCGTAGCCACGTGGGGAAGCGTGGTGATTGATTGATAAAGGGCTGAACATTATCATAAAATAAATATCCAGCCATGTAATGGTTGACCCCTCTGGAGATTCGATTTATTCCAGAATTAATTTTTCTTTTGGTGCTCCGTGGTAACTGTAGCAGCCACTAGTTGCTTCAGGTGTCATGTGTGAATGCGTTACATGCATCCAACAGTATGCAAAACAAATTTCTTTTTTATTCTCATGCACACAATTTCATGCATGTTATATTGAGCTTAAGAGTTTATTAACCTACAAATCGATGCATATTTACACCCTTAGTGTAGACACTCATGCACTGTACTGGCTTTTCACAGATCATATTTATGAACAGAATACGCATGCTTAGTGTCTGAGGCTTGACGAGATCAGGCTCTTTCCTGACGATTGTCTCTCTTGCTCTCTCTCACACCCGTACACGCGTAACCTTTTTTAAATGTTATTTCTTTCAATCGATAGACTTTATTTACGGTCTCTTAGCGTTATGACCCACCCAAAGTCGACGAAACCCATTAGCTTGGCACGATGCCATCACGCACAGGTCAGCGCCGTTGGCCACGTGCCTGACAACTGCGCCCGTTCTCACGGAAGCCGATTCACCGCTCGCCTCTCGACGCAGATGCTGCGCTCCGCTGGCAGAGGGCGTAAATGCATTTCTCCCCGTCTAAATGCTCCATCTGCAGACCTCAAGTCTGAGCCCGTTAGGCATCCCGTCCTTGCCTGTGCGAAACGGCTGTTTCCAGCCGACTTTGTAGAAAATGTCTCAGTTGGGCCTCAACTTGTAAAAATATATATTCTAAAAGTCAGCAAGAAAAAGAATCTAATGCTTCTCGTGCGCCAGGGTCCTCTGAGGACAAGGGGCTCGCGTGTTAAAGTGAGGGGGCACAGAAAAAAACTTGTCTCTCTGTGAGCTCGGAGGGACTTATTTGATGAAATATTCGCGTGACCCTGGGAAACCGTGGCACCGTGTCTCACTCAACCATTGTTGAAGGCTCCCGCTCGCAGTGTTTTATGGAAAAAAACACACCGGACATTATAAAATGATGGGGAAAGTGCAACTTATCTCTTAAAAAAAATCCTTTGGAAGTTTCCTTGGGTTTCCCCCCCCCTCCCCTTTTTCTTTCCTTACCAAAATTTTAAACTAACCCCAGAGACGTCTCTAAAAACTGGGGAAGGTTTCACCCTCCCATTATAAATGTCTTCGTGCTTCATCATGGTCCTTATTGCCACGTGCATCAATATCATTATGTTGCATTGTTTATTTGCTAAAGGTGTTTGTGTTTTGTTGATTATCGCAGTGGTTAGCCTACTGCGCTGCACTGCGAGCCCGACGACACGAATTCAATTCCCACTCGCGAATATCTGAACCAATCCTGGGCCTCCCCGATGGCGACTCGGTTTCAAATGAGTACCTGGTGCGATGTGTAAACATCGCCACTCGGGAGACGGTGGCGGCTAGGCGCGTGGTGCTGGCAACCCACCACCTCTTGTGCTTTGCTAGCCTTCACAGGTGCTTGCTATAACAGCACTTGCTTCCAAAAGTCTATTGAGGCTGTATGGGTTGGGGGGGGCTTCTTTGTTTATCTTGAGGCTTGTTTATTGGAGAATATGATCCACCAGGTGGCTTCAGTAGTGATGTAATCAATCAGCCCTTCCATTATTTGATGAACTGTCATGATTCAGTGGTCAAAATGTTATATTTTTTGCCCTTGTTATGCACGTAGACTCCATAGTGAGTGGCTACAGAGTTATAACCCAATCACAAAAAGCATCAAAAGTCGGTGGTTTCCAGTGCAGTTTGGCATGTGCTCATCTCCTTTTTACAGCCCACTGCTAGTAATGGAAATTCCACATACCCATGACATGGGTTAGTCTGTCCAAAGGACATCCACACAACGGCCAATACTTGTATTACACGTAAGTTTTGATAAGTATAAGAAGCGAAATAATTTTATTATCCCAGTTGTCAATGCTTAAAACCTCCCAAGTGCCAGCGCTGATCAATAAATCTTTCCTATACTTGGCACTCCTGTCGTTTTTGTATCGTGGTTGTAACGTTCTGACCTGCCTCTACTGGACATCTGTGGAAAAGAGCTTTATAGCTCATCGGATTCTTCCAGTATAAATAAAGATTCTGATTCTGAATCAATGACTGTTTAACTGTTCCGTTCCTACCGGTCCTCCCCGCCTGGTTCCCTTGTCATCCTGCACCCCCCCCCCGACAGGTACGCGGTGCTACCCGAGAACATCATCCTGTACGGGCAGAGCATCGGCACGGTGCCCACGGTGGACCTGGCGTCGCGCTACGAGTGCGCCGCCATCGTGCTGCACTCGCCGCTCATGTCGGGCATGCGCGTCGCCTTCCCCAACACGCGCCGCACCTACTGCTTCGACGCCTTCCCCAGGTCGGTAAAGACGTCCGCGCGTCGCCATGGGCCGCGATGTCTCACGGAATGTTATCCTGGTCGCTCGTAGACCGGGGTAGTCCTAGAGACATCGGCACCCTGTTGTAGAGGGTGGGGATGCGGGGCGGGGGGGTGACTAGGCCTAAAATTAGCACCATGTGTGGAAACGTTGTCTGGGTCGCCGTGCCAGACAGACCCGAAATGAAATGAAGGGCCCCGCTTGTCGCGATTTGTCTGGGCATTAAGCAGGTTTCAAAATGACTTTTGTATTTCATTAGAATTTTAATTCGACCTTTATTCCAAAGATGTTGACTCCACCGCGCCCCTGTGCAAGTGCAGGCTCCCTTTTTGTCATCTGCCCGTGACTGACCGCCTCTTTGTCCTTACAATTTATATTTCCACGGATTTCGAATGGCATCGAGAGATGAGGACTCATTTTGAGGCATAAAAAATGAAATTCTAATTGTTAAGTGTCGATTATTTGACGAAAAAGTTACATTGGAAATCGATAGGACAGATAAAAGTCGAGATATACAAGTACTTTATATTTTCTAAAATAAATGCATTTTTGATGCAGTAAATACATTTTGCATGTATTGTTGTATTTATTTACTGCATTTAGACATCATGGGGACCTCCTTTGCCAGTACCAAAATATGAGAATAAGTTTTCCCCTTTTTTCTGGCAAATAAACAGGTGTTAAGATGTGAAAACACCAAACTGAAACCTTTTACAAGGAATCATGTGTGCATTAACCACAATACTTGTGATCAGAATGCAAACAAAAACACACTGCTAGCATATGCATTGTCTTTGAAACTAGTTTCAAACGGTGTTAGACCAGAAGATGCCAAAGGCATCCTCTGGTCTAACACCATTTGAGACTAGGCTCGAAAGAAAGCTGTCTCTGGTGTGGACCAATCAGTTTCAAAGACAATGCATATGCTAGCAGTGTTTTTTTTATTCTGACCACAAGTATTGTGGTTAATGCAGACATGATTCCTTTTAAAAGGTTCCAGTTGGGTGTTTTAACATCTTAACACCTGTTTTGTTTGCCATAAAAAAGGGGAAAACCTATTCTGCATTCAGACACTTATAATCAGGACGCAAAAAGACCTCTGATTCTTGAATCAAATCTGCACTCCAAATCGTGACAATTCATTGAATTACCACTTCCCCGTGACGTTGGCCAAGGTTGGGCATTAAATCCACATCCCTTAGTAGGTATCCCATTATGCAAGACGTTCACCACTAGGCCACTGCAAATATACTTCACACATGGTGAATTATTTAATTGAATATGCATTATACTTTGTGTTGTGAAAAATGTCTTTCCATCTCCCCCTCATTCTGTACTATCCCTGGCCACTGCATCCATTCATATACACACCCACCACGGATAGGTTCGTTAAACAAAAGTCCGCTTTATTGACCCTGTCTCTATTTCATTGCGTGTGTGTTAATAATAATTACTATGCTTCCAATACAACACATTTTTTTACAGCCATTTGTCCACTAAGGTCTTGAGAAATATTATACGCCCCTTATAAACAACACAGTGTGTCATACCATACTTCTCTAGCGGTGGTCACTGCGGGTTTGTGAAGGTGGCGGGGGGGGGCCCCTGGACCGATTCAGATATCACTTGCCACTGATGTTAGCTGTGGCCGGGAATTGAACTTGGATCAGCGAGTTCACAGTTCGGCTCGCAAATACTTCGCCACCGCTGTACCCGAGAGTGCAGTGTTTTTTTTATTAGATTATTGTTGAAATATTTCATTCGGTTCTTTCACCACGGGGCAGACAAGAGTGGGCTTGTGCCACATCGATACATTTTGGCCATTAGGCTGTCTTGCTTTTTCATATCTAGAAATCAGATTCCAAAAGTTTCTGCGTAAGCATGGACGGAAGCACCCGATATTTAGCATACAGAGCAATGTGCAGAAATTTTTGCTTATGACCGGGCGGGAGCCCTTTGAGACTATGAATCTAATTTTGCAGGGAGAACCTGGGTTAGAAAGGAGCTACAGGGAAATGTAGTGCAAGATATAAATATTAAGTCTAATGCCATAAATAAACCCTTAAATTGTGTATGGTGTGTCATATACTTATCGCAAATGTGTCTATACTGCCCTTGCGTATTGTCACATAGTGGGATGGCCATTACAATTGTAAAGTTCATATTGTGTAGTCTGAATATATCCATTAATCTTGAGCTCAATGTATTTCTGACCATCATCACCTAGCCAGTGAACTGGAACACGTACACCAAGCTCTCAAGATGAATGGATATTCAGACTACACAATCCGTAAAGCTATCACACCAACCGTTGGGAAAGAACCATCTGAGGACTCAATAAAAACCATCACCTTGCCATACATAGCAGGGGTCACTAAAATATTTCCAAAATCATGAGCAAACCCAAGATCCAGGTTCGATTTAACACAGTACATAAAATTCGTGATCTGATTCCATCTGTTAAGGATGTGATCCCTGACATGCAATACCCCGGCGTCTACAAACTAAGCTGTGTCTGCGGCAGTAGTTACATTGGGAAAATTAAGCGACATGTCTCAGACCGTGTTCGTGACCATAAGGCAGATCTGAAACACGATAGGACCAATACCTCGGCCGTGGCTGATCATTGGTTTAATGCGGTGGGCTCACACGAAATTGATTTCTCTAAGACGAAGGTACTTTGCAAGCCCACTGGCTATCAACAAAGATTCATTCATGAAGCCATCCATATATATAGACACAGACACAATTTAAACCAAGAAGATGGGTACAAACTGAGCAATCATTGGAAGGACGTTATCAACCAGTTTAAGTCATAACTGGCTATGATGTTCTCATCCTACCACCTTCCGATGTTAGTTGTGCTTTACGCCCATTTCAAACTTGTGCTTTCACAGTCACTTCGCATGCCGACCCCTTGCTTGCGGCTCTGCGATCTGCCATTAACGTGCTAATATCTCTAACATGCTCATCTGCCATTAACATGCTAATCTCCCATTAACATGCTAATATCTCTAACATGCTAATTTTTCACCTGGCAGCTCTTTGATTGGTAGAATACCAACCACCGCAGGGTTGGCTGCCCACCACTTACATTATCATTGGCCGCTGACATTTCGGCTACGCCCATTTAAAACCCTTATAAGCAGTTTGCCTTGGAAGCTAAACCCCCCTTTTCCTGAAGACGACCGCTTGTGTTGCGATTGAAACGTAGTTTTTTGTTATTTTTAGTTATTTTCTTTGAACCTATCTACGTGACTTTACCGAAAGACCCATTAACATGAATTCCTGCAGTCACAAAAGCTTTAAGTCAAGATTTAATTGTAAAGTTCATCAATCACTTAAGGATTTAGAATGTGTCACTTCTGCTTGCTTAAGTAATACATTGGGAGTGCAATTTAAAGGTAAATATCAAGAAGTGGGTGGGGTGACTCAGGAGTCTGAGCACCGAAGCAGCAAATACTGAGATTCAAATTTGGGTTTCAGCCACGTGCGATTAAAACAGATTCTCAAGTGTAGCCACCATTGACTGCCAAACACCGATTATATCAAGGTCGGTTCTTCGTTTAATTTAGCAACATTTCAAGTTTGATTTTTAAAAGTTTACATTTCACTGCCATGCAATGAACATTCCTCTGCAGCACGGTGCGTGGGAAGGTACAGCTCTCCTAATGTGCGAATAAACAGGTCCCTGCAGGGTGGGCTGGTAGAAGTTCGCAAATGAGATAATGTGACTTCCAAATTCTTTGGTTCTATTGGGTAAAGTCACGTAGGTGAAAATAAAATAACAAAAAATCACGACGTTTCGGCCACAACACAAGCGGCCTTCATCAGGTGAAGGGACGAGACTGTCTGGAGGACTCCAGCGCTGTCCTCCAGACAGTCTCGTCCCTTCACCTGATGAAGGCCGCTTGTGTTGTGGCCGAAACGTCGTGATTTTTTGTTATTTTATTTTCACCTACGTGACTTTACCTAATAGAACCAAAGAGTATGGATCCTAGCAGTCACGAAAGCTTTAAATCTAGAATTGACTTCCAAATGTTGGGTGCAATAAGACATATCAAGTCTCTGCGCTGTCTATTGCTGATTTTACACCCAACAGCACGAGATTTCACTTCGTTAAAGTATTGAAAGTAGACGGACGGACGGACACATTAATCTATTGCAGGCTGGTACACTCAGTTTACAACTTCGTTCCTACCAGTAAAAAAAGGTCACCTTAAGCCATCTCAGAGGCAGTTCTGTGACATCACCTTCTGTGGGCCGTTCTCTTAACACACAGGGTGATAAACTGTTGTGCAAGAGTTTCAGTTGGCACTTCGTCTAGTGACGTCTCAACACGGAAGTGCCAACGAATAAAGTTGCGGCAGCATTACATAACTTGCAGCAACAGAGGCTTGAGTACAAGCACGTTTTATTTAATAATTTGTCATAAGTTATGCTTAGCTGGTCGTTAAGTGTGCACCCATGAGACCGGTCATACGCTCTAATCTTTCCCCCACCTCGTCCTTCCTAAGTGCACACAGACAGGAACTCTCATTCGCCATTAATCAACAAGGTCGGCCGTTATCTGTGTCATGGCACTGCTGTGTCGTAGGTGCTCCGTTAAAACAATTTGTGCCGTCCCATCCGCTTGTTCCCAGGCTGAACTCCCTGTTGCCGGAGAATGTATTTTATATTTAATCTTAATCGTAGCTTTGCATTGTGCCTCCTTCCTTTTGCATTATCACTGTCATTTTTTTTTTGCAAGCAGAAGGTTTGAGTTGGCGTAAATAGCACTGCAGTAAATAAAAATGGAAACTCACTTCCCTTCAACGTAATCCAGTGGCTCGTGCACTGCGCTGTGAACCCTGCGAGCTGAGTTCGGTGTCGAGTGATATCCGAATTGACCCTGATCTCTGCACTGACCGTCGTGGTGAAGAATGGTCCAACAACCACGACGACTGGAACGGCACACGAGTTTTTTTATTCGGCAGTTGAT